AGGAGCATTAACAACACCTGGTCACAGTAAATGATGAGTGCTGGGCACCTTTGACATTCATACAAAGAGATATAAAGAGAAGGGGAATCACGGCAATTCCCTCTGTCGCTCTTATCCTGACCATTGTCCTTCTTATTCCCCCTACAGCCATCACATGATGTTCGGAAGAAGGAAATGTTCAACCAAACAACAATGACCGAGTTCCTTCTCTTGGGATTCTCTGACATTCAGGAGCTGCAGATTTTGCACTTTGTTGTGTTCCTGGTGGTTTACCTGGCAGCCCTGGTGGGAAACCTTCTCATCATCACAACCATAGCCCTCGACCTCCACCTTCACACCCCCATGTTCTTCTTCCTGATGAATCTGTCCATCCTAGACCTCGGCTCCATCTCTGTCACTATCCCCAAATCCATGGCCAATTCCCTCATGAACACCAGGTCAATTTCTTATTCTGCAAGCGTCACCCAAGTCTTTCTCTTCTTCTTCTTTGCTTCAGCAGATTTTGCCATACTGACCATCATGGCATACGACCGATACGTGGCGATCTGCCAACCACTGCACTACGAGAGAGTAATGAACAGGAGAGCTTGTGTCCAAATGGCAGCCAGTGCCTGGATCTGTGGTCTTCTCTACTCTGCCCTGCACACTGGGAATACGTTTGCAATTATCTTCTGTGGAGGGAACATGGTGGATCAGTTCTTCTGTGAAATCCCCCAGCTCCTCAAGCTCGCCTGCTCTGACACATACCGTAGTGAAGTTGGGGTTATTGTCTTTAGTGTGTGCTTAGTCTTCAGCTGCTTTGTTTTCATAATTGTGTCGTATGTTCAGATCTTCAAAACAGTGCTGAGAATCCCCTCTGAGCAGGGCCGGCAAAAAGCCTTCTCCACCTGCCTCCCTCACCTCGGTGTGATCTCCTTGTTCCTTTCTACTGCTACCTTTGCCTACCTGAAACCTACCTCCAGCTCAACCTCAGGTCTGAATCTCATGGTGGGTGTTCTCTATTCTGTGTTGCTACCAATAATGAATCCAATCATCTATAGCAGGAGAAACCAGGAGATCAAAGGTGCCCTGAGTAAATGGATAGGTTGGCGGTTACTCACTAAGAATAAACTGTCCATATTTCTCCTTCAGTAGCAATTTCATTCTGAGTTTCCTTATGAATTCAATCAGCTGATGACATTATTGCCTCCAGGAGAAAATACTGTGCAAACCATTTATGCAGAATTGGGTATTTACACTTGTAAAAGTCCCAACAAACATGACTCAAGGTAAAAGGATTAACTATAGGTTTACACCAATCTAAGTAAGAGTGGAATCTATCGATCATATCCTGCTATCCATCACCATGCTATCTTGCCCATAAAATCCGTAGCCATAGCATAGTCCGTACTGAGGTCTCTGGCTTTTCTTAGTTTGGGGGATAAAAACTCAGATTGAGGTATCAATGTATTTGTTATTTGTGCTTTTGTTTGTTTGTTTGCCAGATTTTTAATTATTTTTGTTCAGCTGGTTGGTTGGTGATTTGGTTTGTTTCTTTGTTCCAGGAGGTCTTAGAGGTGCAAAGGGGAGATGGTGAGCATTTGGTTAGGCAGGATTTTCAATGTTTGCACTCTCTTGGGGGGCCCATGTGGCATCTCTTTGATGGGGTTTTCTGAGCAAGCTGAAGGTTTGCTCCCTGCAATGATAAAAGGGGGTAAAAGAGGTTTCTGCAGTGGCTTAGGACACACTGAAATGATTGTGTGTGTATTGTTGGGGTATTATTGTATTATTGATGGAAAGTTAGGGACATAAGAACCTCGGCTGGGCCTCTTTTTATTATTTTAACCTAAATGAATATGTAAAAACGGTGTCATTCTTGCTATGGTGGAAAGGCTGATTTCGAGAGAAACATTATCCAGAGTTTCCTAAGGAAAACCTGACTCAGATAATGAGGCCAAATTGGGATTCCATGGAAATCACTGTGGTTTAGAACTTCACTTCAAGGACATCAAGATTTCGCCAATAGCCTCTACACACAAGGATCCAGATTTGGCTGACAGCACCCTGGAGAAAGTGAGTGTGACAGGGAAGTAAGGGTCAGATTTCCCAACTCAGCTAGACCAGCCCCAATGCAGAGATGACCCATTGGCATCACCAGTTTAATACTGAGGCGGTTCTGGCCCAAAGTCTCTGGGCTGCACTTAGTAGTGACATGAAGACCAGTGTAATTTTTTTGTTTGGGGTCATTTTGTTCTAACCTTTGTGACGGAGCAAGGCCAGATGGCTACAGTAAACTAATGAGGAACAGGTATGTTAGCCCCAGGCTAAACAAATCCCTGGTACCATGGTAACCAAATGGCAGTTGCTCCAGATTAATCAAGACACCTGGGGCCAATTAAGATCCTTCTAGAAAGCAGTGGAAATAGCTAGGTTGATTGGGACACCTGAAGCCAATCAAGGGCTGGTTGGAACTAGTTAAAAGCCTCCCAGTTAGTCAGTGAGGCATGTGCCAGGAGTTATAGGAGGAAGCTGTGCTGTTGGAGGAACTGAGCAGTACAAACCATTTCAGGTGCAAGGAAGGAGTCCCTGAGGTAACGGTGAAGTAGATATTGAGGAAGTGGGGGCTGCTGTGGGGAAGTGGTCCAGGGAATTGTACATGTCCTATTTCCAAAAAGTCAGCTACCATAGCTGCTAATTTTAGGGTCCCTGGGCTGGAGCCCGGAGTAGAGGGCGGGCCTGGGCTCCCCCCTCTCCTCCCCAATTAATCACTGAGACTGGGAGACAACAGAGACGTGCGAGGGAGGGCTGCTTCTCCTCACTTCCCTTGCTGGCTTCTGATGAAAATGGCTCAGTAGGCTGTGACCCTTGTCTCTAGAGAGAGAAGAGCTAATTTATTCATAATGACAGATTTCTATTTGATTGTGAATTATGTCCGCTAGCTAGATAATGGGTAATCTATGGAGATGATTGTGCAAATTATTATGCTTCTTTTCCTGTTAACGACTGTCTATGTCCAGATCATAATTTTCTGATGAATACTCCTTAGTAAACATTATTTATCAAAGATTTTTTTATGACTACATCTTAGTCCATCACACGTTTACAAACAGTTCATCTTTAAGTGTGTGGGGTTTGAACTTGGAGCTGTTTTGACTGGATACATTTTGAACATGGTCTGGTTTGCTTCTCTGAACAAACGTCAGTTTCACTCTCGGTATCCTTGAAAATCCAGGGGCCGATTGTCAGCTGGTTTAACGTGACACAGCTCGACTAGAGCTCCGAGAATTGACACAGCTGAGGATCTGCTCCAGACACTCCTGATTCTGAATACAAGACTCATTTCCTTTGACTAGTCTGGACAGAGGCCCTGATTCCACAGCTGCTTCAGCACATTCTTAAATGTAATCATATGAGCGGCACCATTGAATTTAAACGCATGATTAAGTCCCTGTTGGATATGGGTTAGGAATATGGACAGGGTTGTCGTGGAAAAAGTCACCCACGCATTGATTTTAGTTCACAGACTCAAGCCTGAGGCCAGTTTATTGCAAAACATACCAACGCGTTGGGGTAGCAGTC